TATTTTTCCAATCCAGCTCCCCAAACCTCCACTACCACTATACTACTACTATCACGTCGTAGCGGCGCGTCCCGATTCCTGAAACGTAATTAAGAGCAAGTCGTTTAAGTTGTGCGTATCGCGTAAAAAATCTTTAAGTTTGCAAAATACAATGCATTATTATTCACTAAGTCCACTATCCAGAATAGAACCGTTATCTCTCTTGATACCAAAATTTAAATTTCTTATACTGAATCTTTTGGTACCTACATATTTATTATTATGTATAGGTATCTATGTGTATTGTATACAATATCTCATTTTAATTAAACGGCGAATAATTAAATTACCTATTAATCATTTGGTGCTACTTTCGAAAACGTCATATATTCAAAACAATTTATCATTTCGAAACCAATGGTATGTATAATGTATATTATGTATAACATTACGAATTCAAAATTGTTTGCACTTTTCCATAGTTATTATGTGCGGATTAATTGAAACAACGTTTACTAAAAACATCGACAGAGGACAGCGATGACCGCGTTATTCTATACGCGGTCATCATAATATTAAAACAATAATAATAATAATACCAAAAAGTGAAAGTGGAAATGAGCCCAAAAAGTGTCTATATAATATATTATAACGGATAATACGGGTCTGCATCTGTGTTCGTGTTGATGACCTGGCGTTTTAAAAACCGATAGATCGACCTGCAGCAGCAGTTAGGGTTATGCGCATGCGGAGAGCCAGTTCATTTTTAGCAGTTTCTAGAAGTATACACTACTGCAGCGGTAACAGTAGCGCGGGCGGTGTTATCGTCCGTGTCCCCTCGTTAGCCTTCGGGGAATTGCCAGGGTGGTTTTTATCACTTTCTGTAAAAAATGGATTGTCATCATCATTTACGCGGGCGCGAGCGCGTGTGCGACGGCAGTGCGGGAGTAGGTGTAGTACGCGCACCGTAAGGCCCACGGGACGGAAGAATTCCAGTCATGAAATTATACGCGTGCTACACTATACTTTTTTTTCTCTCCTTTGCAACACAACCACCACACCCGCCTACACCTCCACCAAACCCGGATTCTGACAGTGTTATTTTTCCTCCGATTCACACGCTGCAGTTCCTATATATGTAGTACACTATAACGCGGCGGTTGTCGCGTAATAACTAAAAGTTGTCGTTGTATTTTATATATATGGTTCCTATACACATACAGACACACATCATATAATATATTATAAATGTATATAGGAAAAGAAACCGTTGCACTTTTTCCCATGAGGATCTGAGTATAAAAATGTATATACAAATTTTGTATGTGTATATGTGTGTGCCCGTGTGTTTGTGTGGGTGAGTACATTTTTTTTCCTCGGCCCCAAAGTCGGCCAAGCGTAAAGAAAAGCTTACCGCCGTCATTAACGTTTTGCGGCGCCCTCTCTGTTTGGGGCCATACTAAATCATTTAATCTCCGGTCGACGGGATCCAATGCAAACGGGACGTGAAAATTTTTTCGATAGGGTGTTTCGACCTGCTGTGAGCCCCCGCGCGAGTAATATAATATCAAACCAAGTAAAAAATTTCGTTACTAACACCCCAAGCACGTTGACGAATAATAATAATAATAATGACGGAAAAAAGACCCACTCTTCTTTTCATTATTAAAGTGTTTTATATCATATTGTTATTATACTGAAGCGAATGCGACGTGTCTAAAAACAAAAAAACAATATGACAGTAATTTTTCTCAAAGATGGGTAATTAAATGAAAAAATTAACTGGAGTTCTGTTAAACCTTAAGTTCATTCAGTGTTAAGAATGTTAAAATATTAAATTAAATATTAAATATTAAATATTAAATTAACTTAAGGCTGAAAGTTATAAGTTAACAAACAATATATTTAACTTTAAAGTTTAAAGTTATAATGAAAAAAAATATTAATATTGATAGGTAAAAATATGGTATTCATTTTTTTTAATTACTACCTGGGATACACATATAAAAATGTGCAACTTTCGTAAATTTTTTTAATGACATGTATACATTTGTTTAAAATACTAAAAAAGTCCAGGAATAAATTCGTTCTTATTTTAACACGCTATAACTTTAATTTTTAACACAGAGGCCTAGGCGATTACACGTAGATATTAAAATATTAAATCAAGGAATATTTAACTTTTAATTTGTACATTGTAATATGATATACAGTGTTTAAAAAAAAAAAAATTGAACTTAACCAGTTCTTATTATTTATATTAAAGATCTTATTTTTCAAATTAGCTAGGAAAATCTGAGATGTTACAATATTCTACACTTTCTAGCTAAGTAGAAAACAAAATTCTGAAAAAATCGATAAGAGTACGTCGTATGGGTTTGCAGGCGATTGCGATATACGAGTAGATAAGTACAACCATTGTAATTATATAGAGAAAAAGTCGACACATATGCATCAATAAATATTTTTGTTGGTTGCCGTAGATACGGAAACGTTGAGACGGCCTTCTGGATTTAATATTGAATATTTTAAGTAGATTTCAACGTCAAAAATAGGATACGGACGATGGCGGCCATTTCTATACATATGTATRATGTATATATATAGTTTATAATATACGARTGCAAGTACCGCAATCGTCGCACTGCAGGACTGCACCGGAGACCGTTTTATTGGCGTTTGCTGGATTTTTATGTYCTACTGTAACTGTTCGGGTCCCTCGGATTTTCACGGCGTTCCCGTCGAACACGCGCGCGTTTTATTGCGCGCCATCAAATCTCAATCAAGAGTCAATTTGCCGGATCGGCTGTTTGAGACATTTAGCCCACGGTAGGTACCTTAAGCGTTGATTTATAACCRAGTGGCGAAAAAATTACTTAAGCTTCAAGTTTCTGCTGCAACGGTCGCCAACCCGGCCATATACATGAGACAACARAACTCAATAAAACGATAATAATACATTTTGAAATAGATAGCCATTTCGTTTCAACTAAAATACTTACAATTTTCATACACAAAACCATAACTAAAAAAAWAATAATAATAATAATAGCATACGTTATATAATGACGGGATTAACAGTTTTAGTTTAACTAGTTGCTCGAACTATGAATAATGATGCTGCCACGGTAAATCAYATATATAATAACGTGCGCTAAGAATACAAACATAGTATAGCTATAAATGACTCACGATAGCGAGTGAGCGATTAGAGTGTACCGGGTTTACCATTATGTATATGTATATACGCAATATATATTTTAAAAGCGTTCGTTTMGGGTAAAAATTCCTAAATATATATTACATATGCGTAGAATTTGGCGTGTATACATATTATACATATATTTATTATATGTGTGTGTGTAGACACACGCGAAATGTAACTGTGACGCGTGGTGGAGAAAACCAAACGCGAAGAAAAGCGCACGCACCACCGAAACAACATGGCGCCGTCTACCCCTCTGCACCCCCACTAGTGTGCGCATAAAAGCCTCGGCAGTCGCTCTCTCGCTGGTCCCTCCAACTTCTCTCTCTCACTCTCTCTCTCTCTCTCACTCTCTCTCTCTCACTCACTCACTCACTCTCCATCCGTTCCAGTGGAATTTCACGTCGGGGGTCGTCCCAACACTCTGATGAATGTTTGTAATTATAACAGTCAGACCCGTTCTAATTTCGCCGAATACACACTCTCRCGTATATATACTGTGTGCACCCCCTCGCCAGCGTACCATACACTATAGTGCCGCCCACCCTGTCTAAAGCACCACAACCCACCCGGCAGCAGTCTTGCCGCCGCCGGTGTTTATATGTATACGTACTCGGCGCAGCGTACATTACACGGGTCCCCGTTCCCCGCGTTACTGGATATAATCCCGAAAGTTCCGGAATCCAAACTTCGGAAACTACATCATCCTTGAGTTACCGTGACGAAACTCCGAGCCAAGGGATTAAAATTATTTCCCAGGACATTCGCGGAAACAACGTAAAATGCATTCCGGCGCCGACCAAAAATATAATTGATAGTAAATAATTCATAATATAATATCTTATTTTATTACATTCTTCAAATGTGCTTACGGCTTGTCAATAATGAACGTTGAAAACGATAACCACCGGGTAACTATTGGATTTTGTAAAAACGATATTGTTTTGATATTCAATAAAGATAGAATTTATTCGTGTTTTTAAACCAAGCCATCATAATATTAACACTATCCATAAATACATAATAAAATTAAACGATGCCTTGTATTATTTTCATAAAAATTATGCCGTTAAGTTAATGGTTTTCAATATAACACGTTCTCGTACACACTTCAGTGAAAGCCTATCAAAATAAAGAGAGTTGCAATCATTATCTCCACTCGTACCGTTCGACGGTATATATATAGGTTCACATTTTCATTATAATAATATATGCATTTTACAGTGATTATTAAATCTCTCTCTGTACATACAATATAATATTACAAGTAACGCGCAAGTGCAGGGTAAAAACGTCTGAGTTTCTTTTGTAATCATGTCGAATATAATAAACGTGGAAGGTATGCGTCCGAAATGACTAAACTCTATATAGGTACACGTTAATACACATTTTGATACTAGTAGACATACCTATAGATACTATACATAATATTACGGACAAGGGAATCGGAATAGAAGAGCAGTTGTTCTTTTTTTCTTCTTAAGTGAATGATGATTCAGCGTTTTATTAATACATACTCAGATTAGAGGGTCTTTCGTAATTACAGGTTGATGGTGGATTGGCGTTTTAAAACCATTAAGAACACACTCGCACACATATACATAAACGCGCACGCGAGAACACCGGGCTTATCTGTATGTAACATAATATAATATAAYATAATATAATATGCACACGTGTATGCACGTAAAATAGACAATGATGAGACGACGTAAGTTATAAAAACAAAACACAAATTGTATCGTAATGGTTTTTGAAGTACGTCACATTAATATAATATATATTAACGGCGATCTGAAAGATAATGTCGACTTACCAATTGTTGACTTGAAGTATAGTCAGACCGGTGTCTTGAGCAAGTTGTTTTTTCTGATCTTCCGATGGGTAAGGATGCTGGAAAAAAAATTAAGTTATTCGATAACGGTAAATATAATGAAATCATTTTTATAGAACCATCTGACATATACCCATACATAGAACATATTTCTACACAGTACCTACATCTAAATTATATCCACGTACAGTTAGCCTAGACTGTTTAAAAAATGGTTTGTGTTTGCATGCGATTTCTTTAAAAACGATATGGTTAATATTATACTTGTAATGTTCAATAATAATTTTTTAATGATACGTCATCAAACCTTTTTTTTAATAATATATATAGTATTATAAYTGAGTTTAAATAAGCTCAGAAACGCTGACGTTTCGAACCAAATTATATGTATTTATATATATAAAAAAACGGTTTGCAATTGGATCCGGAGGCGTTCTAAGCCGCCCACTTTTGACAAGTGACTTCGAGGTAGAGGATATGTTATTTGTTGTATAATGATGTGTTGTCGAGGTCGCGTGCTCTATACGACATCTCCATTATTCTTGAAAACATCACGTACAATAATAGGAAGGGAAAAATCAGTAATATCAACGCCTCTTTGTAAAATGTATAGCGTTGCCATTTCCGTTGCACCGTCATATCGATGTTCRCGAGAATTATTCTCAACTCTGTAGGCGTATCCCTTGGTATACAGCACCATTAACGCCCAAACGGCACGTGACATTCGATATATCAAACTTAACGCGTGTACAGTTATGAGCAAATTATTTTTAGAACAAAAATGTATAACGAGAGCATACGCTGAGACAATTATTAATATTGTATTTTTGTTATTATTATTATGGCTATACTACGACTGCAATCGGTGGGTGATTGAATAACTAACCGAAATTCGTACGGTATCATTATATTTTATGTATCGTAAGGGTGTACGTTTATGTATATATAAGGTAAGAATCCGCAATAAAATCACGATATGATATTATGCCGGGAAGGAATTTTCTATCATTTTCATAACGTGATGTATACCCCCTTTTTTTCGGTAGACGAGACCAATAACGATCGAGGAAGAGGTTTTTTTTAACCTCGTAGCTCGTTGGAAAAGCAATAAAAGCATTAAAGCATTGCCTATACAGACCGATGGGAATATTGGTTCCCCTCTTTTCACATATTTCCCTATTGGAAAGATAAAAATATATACAAGCGTATAAAAATAGATGGAAGAATGTACACGAATATTTTACGGCGCGACAACTATATATATATATAATAGTGTACTCAAAAACCCAAATCTGTGATTCAAATAACTGATAGGTAATAATACACTAGCTACCCATACTTCCTACATAACACACTATAGCAATAATAATATTTTACAGATTTAAAGCTAATAAAAACTTAAAGTCATTTTGCGTTGTTAGYAAGTAGTTTTAAAGTATTAAGTTAAGTTTAGCTAAACTTTAAAATAACGATTTATTACCACAAATGCAATTATATATATTTCAATATGTATATTATCGTAATATTTAGATAATTATTTTAATGCCATTTATGATATACCATTAAGATTTTGAAAAATTAAACATTAAAGATAACATTTATGTTATTCAACCATCATGAATTCAACTATAGTTAAGTATGTACTATGTTTGCTATTCACCAGATTTTTATATGTAATTAAAATATAATTTTACGTGCTGGTGAATAAATGACTAGCGATACATCAATAATGTTTGAACACAAACTTAACCTKCACCGAATTGTTGTTTAAACACTGATACGACAAGCGTGCATCTAAATTTAATTCCGAGGGTCATTTACCAAAATAAAAAACGGAAGGGGAGAAGTGTGTGCGTTTGAAACCGCTGATAAAGCACGAAGATTAAACTCCGAAAAATAGGCCTGTGAGCACGTAGTTCAGTTTTTGAACTGAATTCTAAATATCCACGACGGTCGCTGAATGTTTAATGGAGCCCAATTGAAGCCTCTAGGGGCCCCCGGGGGTGTGTATCCCCCCGCCGTTTTAGGGCCCATTACGAATGCCAGTTGCATGACCCTTTAAACCAAAGTGAGAGAGAGAGGAAAAGAGAGAGAGAGAGAGATAGGAAGAGAGAGAGAAAGATATATACAAAGAGATACAGAGAAAGCGAGAGAAACGTCACGACAGTGAAAGCACCGAGATAAACATTTTCCGTCGTATACCCGCGGGAACCCGTCGCTGTTAAAGTTGAAAAGAACAGGTCAAATTTCGGGTATAAAACCACCGTACTCAAATATGATTTAATAATCAGGATTATCATTATCAATATATTAATGATAATAACAATAATGTTTTGTGTGATCTTATATGTATAATCTTAAAGACATGCCCAATATAATATTTAAGCATCGAAGATGCCATTTAAGGGAACTTATATTATAGAATTTAGAAATTGAAACGATGAAAAGAGCAAAAATATTTTATGATGGGATAGAGGCCGTTTCCTTTAACAACTATAACACGCGAAGATTTCCTGAGAAGTATAAACCGCAGCGCGCGCAGTAGATGGGCTATTTCGTTCTTCGTTCAGCCAATATAACAAACAACAGCAAGGGATCGGCGGAAAAGAAAAGGGTCTTCGGGGAGTCGTGGTGACTATTTCCTTTCCGGATAAACGACACAGAAATGGAAAAAAGGTTTTTTTACTACAATGTAATAGTATAACCCGCTATGCGATGCTGCTGCTAGGAGGCAGTTTAGAGGGACGACTCTTAGCGGCCGCGTTGATGCGTCGTTGAGTCATTCATATATTCATAGAATCGCCCTCGCCAAGGCAGTTTTCCTAAGCAATTTCCGCACCCCTCTCCGGATTGCTATCTCGTATATATACTCATATTATGCGCACCTCATCACCATTTCACATGTTATAATAATAATTCCGGAGTTTGCGCACAAATCGGACGAAACCCGTTTTCGCGTGCTTAACATGCTTGCCATTTATTATTATACCATATCGGGTTTAATCTAAATGAATGTATATAGTTTTTATGCCAGCACGCGAGAGAAAGAACGAATTGTATAATAATAACGTTATTATTATTATTACTATTATTATTATTATAGAGACGTGTACGCATTTCCTTTAGGTATAAAATATATACAAAACATGATTCGATTAAATTGTGTTACGACKGCAGTAACGCACTATCAATTTAGAAGGTAAATAATGATTATTCGCCCATTACTTTTTATTTATCTGGTAAATTTATTGTCGTTACGACCGTGTAACAGGAACTCACCGATCAAAACACGGGTTATTACATCAAGGTAAAGGCTGGGATCGTAAAAATCCCATCAAGATGCAATACAGGCTATACGGAAAAATCCATCCAGAGCGGATGTATACGCCATAAAATTCAACCCCTGTTCTAACATCGAATCCACGACTATAAAGACAACGATTAGGGGATTGTTATTATACGTAGAAACTTTTTTGATTTCGTTTTTCGCAATTTTCAACAGTACGAAGTTAAAGTCGTCAATGCGTTTACAATTATCATGTTACAAAACAATTAGTAAACTGTGATTAAAATTGCAGAGTAGGAATACTGTATAAGTTATATTAAATAATGTACAATTCTTGACGAAACTGAACTTATCGTCATATTACAGATCATCAATTAATAGAACAATCGTGCTGTTCGTAATAAAATTCAATTGGGGGTTTTTCATTGTACACGACAATCGACAAAATATAGGTAGCAGGTACTGTACTTACCTATATTATTAATTAAATATATATATATATATATATATATAAGTGAAATGTGTGAGAACAGGTACTGTAATTCTGGTGTCCTAACGCGTGAACGCGATAAAGAGAAAAACCCTCGGTACTTTGTTTTTTCCCTTCTCTGTCCAGTTAAATTTACGACGCTATAAAACTAATATTGCATCTGGTCGTAAATCTTGACAGGGTTAGCAAGCTTTCCCGTTATATGCACTTCAATGTGATAGACTCAGTATAAACACGCACTAGTTATGTAGTGTATAATAATACGTCTTTAAATAAACAGAAATTAGATGGCTAATCAAATGTTAGCTCCCATTTATAGGCAGCCTAATAAAAATAATTTAGGACGTATTTATATAAACTTACGTAGGCAGGTATATTTTATTATTGTAATATTACTTAGTCCAGTCGTATGTACTATCTTGTATGCACAGTACGAGTATATATGCAATACGCTTATAAAAATGCAATCATTTATGTTTTAAAATGTAGGAATGTTGTAACGGAAACTTATGTACAATGCCTTCCATCTAAGCCAGGAGTGTCCAACCTTTTGTGAAGACTGGGCCACATCATATAGGTAAAAGTTGTTGTGGGCCACATATTTTTTTWAATAATAATACATTCAAATTTAATGATTAAATTATATTCTATAATACAACAATACATTTTTTCATAATTTTACTATAGCAAATAAAAGCAGAAATATTTTTACAAGTATTAATATTTAATTATAAGTTCCTACAAAGAAAAATATATTTATTTATAATCAACGTATGCGTCGGCCTTTACAGTTTATTTGATATTTTATAATTTTATATTCTTAAAATAAATTTGTTCTCGTAATATTAATATATTATTATCTACAATTAATTCATGGTTTTTAAATTGAAGTGAGGGCCGCATCAAAATCTACAATGGGCCGCGGGTTGGACACCCCTGATCTAAGCCATGTTTTACATGTATAAACCTGGATAAAAATTCAATATACGTTACACAACTTCAAAAACAAAACAACAAATAATCGATATTAAGAATATTATCCTACTTTACGAACGACCATTATGCTTAAACAATCGAGTGGCTTACAAATATTTACCGAATCCAAATAAAATCAGAAAAGACTCATTATAAGATARGCAAGGACAAACACATAGTGTGTTTTATGAGATGTATTCTTGTGTTAATTCCGCAAAAARTTAAGAATTTATTTTTAACCCACTATAGGCTAATAGTGACCTAATACTAGACCTACTGACTACTGACCTAACCTAATAATTATTTTG